CTTTGCAACCTTCTGCCCAATGTCTGTAGGGGCGACTCACCCAAGGAGCCTCTCCTACACAACTCTGCTGGGGCCTTATCCCAGAAGTTCTCATTTAATTGCCCCAGGTTAGGGGTAGGGGTGGTAGTGGTGGTGGCAGAGGGCATCAGGAACTTTCCAAAGCTTCCCAGATGATTCTCATGTGCAGCTGGGATTGAGAAACCTCTGGGTTATAGGTGGGAATCAGAAACCCAGAAAGGGAAGGAAACTGGATGGGGTCATGAAGTGGTGTCTGGGCCTCATCTGTAGAATGAGCAGAGCTGGCTGGGGAGGTACACAGAGTAAGGCAGAGAGGCGGAGACTAGTACGGACTCCCAGCTTCATCACAGGGTCTGACTAAGGCCCCCAGCCCCACCTCAGCCCCTTCCCCTGAGGGCCTAGGACAGAGATTCTGACCTCTCGGCTTTGCTGTGCCCCAGGGATGGGGAGATAGGCGGACCCAGCCCAGGCTCTGAGCCTCCTCAGACACGTCAGCGAAACCGGAGCCAGCCGTCCTGGCCGCCGGCATGGTCCCCGCCTGCCTGGGGGGTTGGCAGACTCCTGGGCTGGGCTGCTGCCAGGCCTGGCCAGCAGTACTTAGCCTGGGGGGGGGGGGGGCGGGAAGCACTGGGAGCCAGAGGCCCAGAGTCTCAGGGTCTCAGGGTCAGACCTGCAGCACCTGACCCCTGCGCCCACTCTGCAGTGTCTGGCACAGGAAGGGGCTGTGCTGGCCTCATCTGTTCATCTGTCCAACCCTATTCCCTCACCACCCTTGTGGCCTTCCCCAGGAGCAGTGAGATGAGCAGCCTAAGGTCTGATGTGGTCACACAAATGCCTGGGTTCCACCCACTCACCAGTCCCTGCCTGACACAGTGCCTGTGTGTGAGTGGGTGCCTCCAGGTGTCCCCTACACTCACAGGTGGGTGGGGGCACCAGGATCCCTTTGAGAGCTCCTCCCTCTGCTCCCTTTCCCCACCTCCAGGTCATAGGCTGAAGGGGGGCTGGCCAAAGGTCACCTCATTCCCCCACCCACTGCCAGAACTAAATACACCCCTCATCAGTCGGCTTTCTCCAATTCCTACTCTCCCACACCCAAGGGTGGAGGACAGAGGGCAGCCTCTGCATGGAAGCCTCCCCTGGACCCAAGGGACCTCCTGTCTGTGCTGAAAGTGGCACAAAACCCCCCTCACACCATGGCATCCTCACCCTGTATGTGCAGAAGGCAGGGCTCAGGTTTTATGGGTAACACCTTCAATAACAAATGTTTACTGAGCACTTAGCATGCGCTCCAAGAACAAACTAAACAGCCCTGACAATGAGGCGCTATAACCAGGACCCCTCCCTACTCCCCGCCTTCACAGATGGGAAGGGAAGTAAAGGGCCATGGCCAGGCTCTCATACAGCCAGGCTGGGACTGCGGACAGTGGGACCTTAAAGCCCCATCCCAGCAACTGTCCCTTGGAGGGCGGCAAGGCCAGCAGCAAGAGCCTGGGCCTCTGTTTCCTGCCTCTTTCCATCACACCACGGTGGGGCCAGGTCAAGGCAAGTCTGCAGAGTCCAGGTTTAAGAGAAGAGACCTGGACCCTTTGCCCTCCTCCCACCCCACCCCCCAAAGCCTCAGGGCTGCCTCCAAAAGTCTCCCCTCACCCTCTGCAGAGGGAAAGGTCCTACCTCCCTGCCTTGGGTCAGCAGATCAGATATCAAAGCCCAGGCCCCTGGTCCTTCAGAGCTGCTGGAATTGTAATGGCCAGGAAAGCCGTGACCTCCCATGAGAGACCCCACCCCCAAAGCACACACACACCAGAACGAGCCCAGACAGGCAGAATCACTCCCAGAACTTGTTAAAAGAACTTCCCCATTTAAAAACAAACAGAACAACACACAACTACAACTCTGGGTGCTCAGAACAACTCCAGAGAGTGAGGCAGGGCTGGGGTGAAAATGAGGCCCAGAAGTGAACAGGGACTTGGGAAGCTACTTAGGGGCTGAACTTGGGCCTACACTCAGGTCTCTATCTCCTGTAGCTCTACTGCCCACCCCCTCCATGTTCAGTCTTCACCTTCTGGGTCCCTTCTGGGGACTCTGTGGTCTCCTCTTGGTGCCAGGACAGCCCACGGCGGAGCCCCCAGAGCCACCAGCACCCACCTTCCCATTTCCCAAAGCCCCCATGCTGACTCCTCACTGGGCAGGTGGAGCAGCGCTCTACATCCTAGCTGCTGCCTGCTGGGGTCTTCCCAGCCCAAGATGCCGATTGCTCTTGTGACCCAGCCCCTGCTCCCCACCAACTCGGCCAGATTGCCGCTCTATGGCTAGACGGACCTACAGCGAGCGTCTTTGCCTCCCTCCCCCGTGATGACTTTATTGATTAAAGGGCCAACAGACTCTGGAGTGAAGCCCAGAGCCCAGGCTGATGCCTCCTCCGTGTAGACTGGGGAACACCCTCCAGCATGCACCCCAGGCCCCCAGGGGCCACGCCCGGCTGCTCTGTGTTTAAGCGCTTCCAGTCGTAGGAGGTGCTGCCTGAAACACCTGGGCAGACAGCGGAGAAACAGAGGCTCTGAGAGAAAAACGCAGTCTATGGCCTCATGGCTGGGATGCCCCTGGCCCAGGTTGCCTGACTGGAGCATGAGCTCTTAACTACGACCTTATACAAAACCCAGAGGGAGCTGAAGCCACAGGGGTGGCCACGTGTAGGGTCCCCTCCCATCCTGGAGCCTGGCTGCTCCCTTCCTGACCCTGCCGGCCCCACGGGGAGGGCTGATTCAGGGGGAAGCGGCTCACCCCACACGTGGATGTGGGGGGTGGGGGTCGCACACAGCCCACATCTGGAGGCCAGGCCACACCCACTGCCTTCTGAGTCAGTGAGGGTGGAACGGGTCCACTCCGGGGAGGAGGCTGGGTGCGGTGCACGCAGCCCCCTCGGGACGGTGCCAGCAGGGCCAGCAGGGGCACAAAGCCTTCCAGGTTCTGGTCCAAGTGTCATCTGAGGTTCAGCACGAGGCCCTGCCCCAGCACTCACTTGGCAAAGGTGAGCTAGGCATGCTCTGGGACACACGGGAGCAGGCAGGGCCTCCCCTCGGGGTGGGGATGGTAGAGCCAGGACCTTAGACAGCCAGGGAAGGGGCACCAGCTGGAGGTTGAGGAAGGCCTCCCTGGCTGGCCTGTGAAAGGTGGTCATCGGTGTTAACTAGGGGGGCAGAGGCCGATGGCCCCTCTTCCCTGGCACAGGGGACCCTGCAGGCAGGCCGGGCCTAGGCGGGCCCAACCTGGGTAGCAGGCCTTTACCTAGAGCTGGTCTCCCCAGTGACTTGTCTAGTCTGTCCTGGGACCACCTGCCCCCCCTCTTCTGCCTCACATTGCTGGAGCCCATGTTCCTGGGGGAGGAGCCCGACGGAGGGCAGCGGGGCAGAACACAGGCTGGATTGGGGTGGGGGGCACGTTACCTGCCATGGCCTGATGGCTGGCAGGCATGGGGGAAGGGGAGGCTGAGGCCCAGCACAAAAGGCCCTTGTGTGAGCAGAAGGCGCCTGGAGGGGAGGAGTGCTGGCCTCTCAGGGACTCTAGGGGCCCAGAGAGTGGGGACTGCTGCTAGGGTGGCCCCTGGGCTCCTCACAGGAGCCTGAGTGAAGGGGGGCCCGTGCTGTGGCCCCATTCTGTCTTGAGCAGTTCCAACTACGAGCTGGGGCCCAGAACAGCAGAGGGAGCACCCCCCCACCCCGCCCCGGGCAGGACTGGGCCCCACATCAGGAGGGCAGGACCATCATGGACTGCTGGCCTAGCTGCACCTGGACGTGGTTAAGGACCTGGGCTCCGGCTCAGATTTCCCGGCAGTGGGACGGCAAATCACTGCACCTCCTGGAGCCCCCCTCTCTCCTGCCATCTGGGAGCAATGAGAATAGTTTCCACCTGCTGTGGCTGCTGGGGGTGCCACGCGAGGGGACCATAAATGCTCAGTGTGCCAACAAGGGGAAGAGCTGCCTGCCGCTCCTCATTCTCAGTGCTCTGGCCAGAGCACACCCCAAGAAACAGCAGACAAACCAATCTGCAGAATGTTTCTAGGCCCAGCCCTGCTTCTGGGGCCACCCCGCAACCAGTGTCCCTCCACCTGCCCCGGGTCAGTCTGGGGAGGCCAGGACCCCCACCTCTAGATCTGTCATCACACCTCAGAGATGAGAGATCTGAAGACCAGGGGACACCTGCCAAGAGCTTAGGCCCTCCTCTGCCCCCTCCCCTAGGAGCGTCCCCCACCCTGGCCAAGTCCTGGCGGGCCCTCAGCTCCCATATGGGGCAGGTCTGACTTCATAAGTGGAAAAACACCGATCCCATAGTTTCCGTGTGAAGTCTTCCCGCCGCAGTCTCTCTCACTTGGAGGACGCAGAGCGTGGCGGCAGGGGCCAGCGGCGCGGGGCAGTCAGCTTCTCTGCTTACGCGCTGGCTGCCCGCCCCTTCTCTCCCAGACGCTGTGGGGAGGGGCTGCCGCTCTAGGACCCACCACGCTCCCTCCTGGCCTGTCCACCTCAGCAGAGGCGAGGGGGGGAGGAGGGGTGGGGCTGGAACTGCAGGGAGGGCACAGAGCCTGATGCTTTCTGACCACGTGTTCTCCCTGAGCCGCAGAGGCAAGAGGGCTGGGGTTAAGGAGAAGGGGATTTTCATGATCACTGAGTGTTTGGGGGCCAGCCTCCCTGTGCGCACATCAGCCCACTAAACCCTGGTGACAGCGCAGGAAGTAGCAACTGATAGCCTAACGAAGTCATGTGACTGCTCAAAGTCACTCAGTGAGAGACTGATGGGGCCGGGGCAGGAACGAGGCCGGGGCACTGGGGACCTGACTCATAACTACTGTGTGCTGTCAGATTTGGGGGCAGGGAGTGACGAAGGGGGCTGGGAATTCCCTTCTTGGTCCTTCCTGGCGTGGCTCTCCCCTGGGTCCCTGACTCATGGTCTCCTGTCTCTACCACTTCTCTGCTCCCAGGACCCAGAAGATGTACCCCAGAATCCCTCTGCCCCCAATGCTGCCGCCACTGCTGCTGCTGCTGCTGGCCCCAGTCCCCGGAGTGCAGTGCTGCCCGACAGGCTGCCAGTGCAACCAGCCGCAGACGGTCTTCTGTGCCGCCCGCCAGGGAACCACAGTGCCCCGGGACGTGCCCCCTGACACGGCAAGCCTTTACGTCTTCGAGAACGGCATCACCACACTCGATGCAGGCAGCTTTGCCAGCCTGCCAGGGCTGCAGCTCCTAGACCTGTCACAGAACCAGCTCGCCAGCCTGCCCGGCGGGGTCTTCCAACCACTCGCCAACCTCAGCAACCTGGACCTGACTGCCAACAGGCTGCGCGAGATCACCAACGAGACCTTCCGCGGCCTGCGGCGCCTAGAGCGCCTCTACCTGGGCAAGAACCGCATCCGCCACATCCAGCCCGGAGCCTTTGACACACTAGACAGCCTCCTGGAGCTCAAGCTGCAGGACAACGAGCTGCGGGCCCTGCCCCCGTTGCACCTGCCGCGCCTGCTGCTGCTCGACCTCAGTCACAACAGCCTCCCGGCCCTGGAGCCTGGCACCTTGGACACTGCCAACGTGGAGGCACTGAGGCTGGCCGGCCTGGGACTGCGGCGGCTGGACGAGGGGCTCTTTGGCCGCTTACGCAACCTCCACGACCTGGATGTGTCCGACAACCAGCTGGAGCGAGTCCCGCCGGCCATCCGGGGCCTCCGGGGGCTGACGCGCCTGCGGCTGGCCGGTAACACCCGCATTGCCCAGCTGCGGCCCGAGAGCCTGGCCGGCCTGGTGGCCCTGCAAGAGCTGGACCTGAGCAACCTGAGCCTGCAGGCGCTCCCACACGAGCTCTCTACCCTCTTCCCCCGCCTGCGGCTCCTGGCGGCCGCCCGCAACCCCTTCAACTGCGTGTGTCCCCTGAGCTGGTTTGGCCCTTGGGTGCGGGAGAGCCGCGTGGCACTGGCCAGCCCGGAGGAGACACGCTGCCACTTCCCACCCAAGAACGCTGGCCGGCTGCTCCTAGACCTTGAATATGCTGACTTTGGCTGCCCAGCCACCACCACCACGGCCACGGCACCCACCACAAAGCCCATGGCTTGGGGGCCAACTCTCTCACCTTCCAGTCCAGCTCCCACCTGGCTCAGCCCCACGCAGCCTGCCACGGAGGCCCCCAGCCTGCCGCCTGCCGCCCCACCCACTCTGGGAGCTCCCCCGAGGCCCCAGGACTGCCCAGCGTCCATCTGCCTCAACGGGGGCACCTGTCACCTGGGAGTGCACGGCCACCTGGAGTGCCTGTGCCCTGAGCTCTTCACGGGCCTCTACTGTGAGAGCCGGGTGAGGCAGGGGCCCCAGCCCAGCCCTGCCCCGGCCACACCGGAGCCGCCACAGCCCCTTCCCCTTGGCATCGAGCCAGCGAGCCCCACCTCCCTGCGCGTGGGGCTGCAGCGCTACCTGCAGGGCAGCACCGCGCAGCTCAGGAGCCTCCGCCTCACTTACCGTAACCTGTCAGGCCCCGACAAGCGGCCGGTGACGCTGCGGCTGCCTGCTTCGCTTGCTGAGTACACAGTCACCCAGCTGCGGCCCAACGCCACCTACTCCATCTGCGTCAGGCTTCTGGGGGCCGGGCGGGTGCCCGAGGGCGAAGAGGCCTGTGGGGAGGCCCGCACACCCCCAGCCGTCCGCTCCAACCATGCCCCTGTCACCCAGGCCCGGGAGGGCAACCTGCCGCTCCTCATTGCTCCCGCCCTGGCTGCAGTGCTCCTGGCCGCACTGGCTGCCGTGGGGGCAGCCTACTGTGTGCGGCGGGGACGGACGGCAGCGGCTGCCACTCACGGCAAAGGACAGGTGGGGCCAGGGACTGGGCCCCTGGAGCTGGAGGGGGTGAAGGCCCCCTTGGAGCCAGGCCCCAAGGCGACTGAGGGCGGTGGGGAAGCTCCACCCAGTGGGCCAGAGTGTGAGGTGCCGCTCATGGGCTACCCGGGGGCCAGCCCCCAGGGGCCCCTCCCCACTAAGCCCTACATCTAAGCCCCGAAGCGACAGGCTGCCAGGCCAGGCTCTCAGCCCTGCTGGACCCGCCAGCACCCTCCTGCTGCCAGACCAAGGAAGTTCTCGGATCCCTACAAAGAGGACACATCAAGGTGAGGGCTGTGTGACCACAGCAAGATCTGGCCCCTCAGTCTCCTCATCTGTGAGATCCTGGGACGCAGGTGACCACCTCTAAGGTGGCGCTATGCCTGAGTGCCTACGAGGACGGCATCTGCCCGGTTCTCTGCAACATGCACCTTCCCTGGGGAAGGGTGGGGCGGGCCCTGCCGTGTGCTGGTAACACAGGCCCAGGGCTGCCAGGCCCCCCTCCCAGGAGATCCTGGGGGCCAGTGAAGGAAGCCCCCAGAAAGACAGCAGAGGGAGAGAAAGGCTGGGGATGGGGCATGTGGCCCAGCCTCGGCCCCAAGGAGCAAAGGAACAAAAGAAACTGGAAAGACAGACGCTTAGGAACATGTTTTGCTTTGGTTTTTAAAAATATATTTATAAGAGATTCTTTCCCACTTATTCTGGGAAAATGTTTTTCAAACTCAGAGACAAGGACTTTGGTTTTTGTAAGACAAACAATGATATGAAGGCCTTTTGTAAAAAAATAAAAGATGAAATGAGTGTGTTTCTCTGGCATGGCCCAGGGTACCTGGGTGGGTGTGGAGGTAAGCGGGAGGCCAGAACCCCCAGGGTGGGAGGGCTGCCGCTGAGGACTATGCCAGGGTGGCCTGCCCTCCCAGGATCCTGCCCTGGGCTGTGTCTGCCCAGCCTCAGCTGGGGTGCCTGATTCAGTCTCTTGTTGAGACTGGGATGCAGGCCGGAGCCAGACGGGAGCTGGGCAGCTCCTAACCTTGAAGAAGAGGAACATGAGGGCAGCCTTACCTTGCCCAGGCCCAGTGGTCAGCCAGCAGGAACTGTACTGCCCCTGTGAAGCTGGGGAGGGCTCGTAGCAGATAAAGACCGAAAGACAGAGAGGGTCTGCAAGGGCTCCTCCTCAGGGAAGGGCCTGACAGGCAGTTCACCGCCTACCTTCCTCTGCGGAGGGAGTGCGCCTACTGCAGCAGGAGCCTGTGTCCGGGGCCTGGCACAACACACAGCCCAGCCCTGCCTGCAGTCCTGATGCCCTTCCGCATGGGCTCGGGCTGGGAAAGCTTGCTCCCGGCCTCCTGTTCCAGCTGCAGAAAGGCACCTTGGAGGGGCAGCATGGATCCTGAAAGGCAGGAATCCTCTGGTGATTGTGAAGGGACCCAGCCAGGGCTGTTTGGGGCAGGTGGCCCAGGGACAGGACAAAAGGTCTGAGCCTGGCTTGTGAAGGCCTGGTAGCCCTGTGATGCCCCTTTACTCTCTGCATTTGGGATGTGCCCAGGCTTTCCAGAAACCCCGGAAGTGGGAGTGTTTTCCAGGAAAGCCGCAGGCTGTGTGGGGGCAGGGCCAAGGATGTAGAGTGCAGTTCTGGCCCAGACTGGGTGCTGGAAGCTTGGGAACAGGGACGGATACACAGCACCTTCTCCCATGACCATGGGACAGGAGGCAAAGTGGGCCCTGAGGCCTCAGAGAGGTGCTGTGACTGCTGAGCGAGCCTCCCCGAAGCCCCGTGCCTGTGTCTCCTCTGTGGGTCATGGCCCCTGGGCCTCACCAGCCTCACCCTGGCTGGAAGGACGCAGCCCAGTCAGGTCTGGGGAGCAGGCCCTGTGGCTCAGGGCGTTGATGTCAGCGCCGAGTCAGGCCCAGCCACGCGAGGCTCTGGATTCAATTAGTGGCTGCTGAGGGTTCTGGCATGGGAAGGGAGGAGGTGGGCGGTGGGTCGTGTCGGGCAGCAGAGGATGGTGGCAGTGAGCCTGGGTGGGGCCCCTTCTTCCTGAGGCAGCGGCGGCAGCCCAGGTGGATTTCCTGTGAGCCTGGGTCCCATTAGGGGAGCAGTATGGCG